CAGATTTTAAGCATAAAATATTCTCTTTTGAACTCAGATTGTAAGTTGTAGTGGATTTTTGGGGGCCTGACTGACCTGTGTTCTTTTGTGCTAATTTAAATTTAAGGTAATATTCAAACAGTTTATTGTTCTGCTGAAGTCTTAATAATGACAGACAAATACATTTGGAAAGGTCATTTGCTAAAACCCATAAAATCAGAATATTAAAGTGTTGTATCAGTTTTGCGTAGTTACAGCTTCTTGTGCTATTGGAAGAATAAAGCTTTATTTATGTTGATTTATTCTGTTTAGTTTAGTTCCATGACTTGTTCAACATGGAGTTGAAAAAACAGGAAAGCTGACTCTTTTCAATTGATGTTGCAGAACTAAATTTGAGGGGCTGAGATTTGTTAGTTCAGAAGTCAAAATGGACATACTGACTGAAGAAATTGGTTTAATTCACACCCTATAGATAGCAGCGATGGGTCAACAGAATGGTTGTATTGCAACTCCAAATTTAAGTAGTTCTACATTACAGATTAATAGATGTTGATGTTATTGATTTATGTCTTATAATAGGTTTGTACCTGGGTCTTTCTTATCCTGTCTGGGTTGACTTCCCTCCAAGCTGATTTCTTTGTCAAGAGCTGACCAATACTGTCCTCACATGCCTGGAGTCAGTTCCCCAACTGGGAATGCTGGATTGGAGGACTGTACTAGAAGAGAGAGGTGATGAGAGGAGGACCATGCTCACAGACTACAGTGCCGGCTTGCAGTAGTGAAGTCTCTAGCATGGGGTGGGGTTCCTGTTGGGTGAGGTCTCAGCCCTAGGAGAATGAGGTTGGTGAAGAATATAGAGAAACGTGAAGAAGAGAGACCCTGGTACCCTACACATAGCCATCAGCTATGAGGCACATTGCCTCCAGCATTCATTCACCAAAAAATGCCTCAGAAGCAGCATCTTGCCTATAGGTTTAAATATGGAAGTATCTGTTGTGTGCATCACATAAAATTCAGGATGACCTGTCTACACAGACGTGTCTAGAACTTACTTTTCTGATCAGAGCACGGACTTAGACTGAGTCCTGTCTGTAATAATTTTGTCTAGGAAGCAGAACCACTTACAGCTAAAATTCCCACTGTCTGGTTTTTCTTATTAAAATGTAATAATAACATAACAGGGACATTCAGATGACATAAATTTACCAATCATTTAACCATTTTTTTTAACCATACTCACAAAACAAACTTAGGAAAAGTGTACAAGTAATCCCTGATTTGCTCAAATTTATGAGTTTACCATAAAATACTGGTATTTTGCCTGTGTGGAGATGGTTAATTCACTGTCTCAGGATTGATTGCTTAAGTTTTTATGATTGTCTGACAACTTTCCTTATTTCTTCATTCTTTTAAGGAACTGTAGAAAGTGTGCCTCTTTATCCTTAGCAAATACTTGTCTGGAGTGACAGCAATATGCTGCCTTGGCTATCCTATCCTAAAAGCATTGATTACTGTCTGAAAGGCTTCTCTGGCAAGTCAAGGGCCATATTTTCTCTGATAGCAACCTTTTTATTGTTAGTGTAGACAGTATCTAGCTCTGGATTTTGTTCCCTGCCTACCTGTCAGTTAATCCAGAGCACTCCTCTGATTTTCTGAAACTACAAAAATTTGAACTAGTGTTGTGGTTTAACCTGACTGGCAGCTAAAACAACCACACAGCCATTTGCTCACTCCTCTCCCTACCCACAGTGGGGTGGGAGAGAGAATCAAAAAGGAAAAAAAAAGGTAAAACTTGTGGAAGTTTAATAGAACAGAAAAGGAAGATGATGAGCGTGATAACAATAACAATAACGATGACAATGACAGTGATGATGGTAAAAGAATATACAGAACGAGTGCTGCACAGCGCAATTTCTCACCATCTGAAGCTGATGCTCAGCTGGTTCTTGAGGTGTGATCCTGCCTCCTGGCTAGGTTCCCCAGTTATACATGGAGCATGACGTCGTATGATATGGAATATCCTTTTGGTCAGGGATATTCCACAGTTGTCCCGGCTGTGTCCCCTCCCAACTCCTTGTGCACCCCCAGCCTACTCTCTGGTGGGGTGGTGTGAGAAGCAGAAAAGGCCTTGACGCTGTGTAAGCACTGCTCAGCAATAACAAAAACATCTCTGTATTATCAACATTGTCTTCAGCACAGTTCCAAAACACAGCCCTGTACTAGCCGCTATGAAGAAAATTAACTCTATCTCCAAAACCAGCAATTAGGATTCATACATTTGTAACACACAGAAAAAAGTTTTAGTTGTATCTTCTGGAAAAAAAGGGAAGATGTTATCACCTTTTTAAACAAAACTCAAGATCTCTTTGAAGCAGCTTATCTATGTTATATTATTGAAGTCCCTTCTCTTCTTGAATATTGACTTTCCAGATGTTTAATGCTCATGATAGTGCTCTCTAGTTTTAACCATATGGAGCCTAACAGTATGCACCCATGAATACTGAGGGAGCTGGCTGATGTCATTGTAAGGCCACTTTCAATTATCTTTGAAAGGCCATGGTGATTGGGAGAGGTACCTGAGGACTGGAGAAAGCAAGTATCACCCCCATCTTCAAGAAGGTCAAGAAGGATCCAGGGAACTAGTCAGCTAGTGAGCCTCACCTCAATCTCTGGAAAGGTGATTGAACAACTAATCTTGGAAGCCATTTTCAGGCACATGAAGAACAAGAAGGTGACTGGGAGCAGTCAGCATGGATTCACCAAGGGGATGTCATGCTTGATCAAGCTGATTGATAACCTTCTATGATGAAATAACTGGCTTGGTAGATGAGAGGAGAGCAGTGGATATTGACTACTTGGACTTCAATAAGGTCTTTGATGTTGTCTTTCATAGGATCCTCATAGAGCAGCTGATGAAATATGAGCTAGATGAGCAGACAGTAAGGTGGATTGAAAATTGTCTGAACAGCTGGGCCTAGACAGTGATGATTAGCGGTACGAAGTCTAGTTGGAGGCCAGTCACTAGCAGTGTCCAATGCTGGGTCCAGTCCTGTTCAACATTTTCATTAATGAGGCAGATGATGGGGCAGGGTGTACCATCAGCAAGTTTGCAGATGACAAAACTGCGAGGAATGGCTAATATGCTGGAGGGTTGTGCTGCCATTCCGAGGGACCTGAACAGGCTGGAGAAGTAGGCTGACAAGAACTTCATGAAGTCCAACAAAGAGAAGGGCAAAGTCGTGTGCCTAGGGAGAACCAGCCCCAGGCACCAGTATATGCTGGGGGATGACCAGCTGGAAAACAGCTTTTCAGAAAGGAGCTTGTGGACTCAAAGTTGACCATGATCCAGCACTGTGCTCTCACAGCAAATAAGGTGAATGTTGTCCTGGGCTGCATTAGGAGTGTTGCTAGCAGGTCAAGGGAGGCGATCCTTGTCTTCTACTCAGCACTGGTGAGGCCACAGCTGGAGTGCTGTGTCCAGTTCTGGGCTCTACACTACAAGAGACGTGTGGGCATACTGGAGAAAGTCCAGTGAAGGGCCATGCAGATGATGAAGGGACTGGAGCATCAATCCTATGAGGAGAGGCTGGGAGACCCTGGAGAAGAGAAGGCTCAGGGGGATCTCATCAATGTGTATAAATACCTGAAGGGAGGGTGCAAGGAAGATGGTGCCAGGCTCTTTTCAGTGGTGCCCAATGACAGAACAAGAGACAATGGACACAAACTAAACCACTGGATGTTCCTCCTGAACGTCAGGAAACACTTTTTTTTTCAGTGAGGGAGACTGAGCACTGGCACAGGTTGCCCAGAAATTATGGAGTCTCAGTCCTTGGAGATATTCAAAAGCCATCTGTAGGTGATCCTGGGCAACCAGCTCTTGATGGCCCTGCTTGAGCAAGATGATCTCCAGAGGTCCCTTCCAACCTCAACCATTCTGTGATTCTGTTAGAGCACTGCACTGATACCATGTTAAACATACTTTTAGAATTTAGTTTTATGTTTCCTGTCATACTGTCTCTGAATTGGTTGTGGGATTACAGGGAGATCTCTTTGTCTAACTCTTTCAGTTCTTGTTGCCTTTTCATGGACTTTTCTGATGCATGTAAATGGGATTTCTCAGTAGTCCTTACAGTAGGTGCTGATTAAAAAACCTACATTTGGCACAAATTTGATCACCTAATCCATTATTCCAAGGAATCTCGGTATGTTTTCTGTTGTCTATACATGATGATAATGCTGTCCTCGTGGTTTGCTTGTTCACCTTTGTGCATTAACAGCTTTCCGTACTTGTAGTACAGTACTTCCATTGTATGCCCTTTATGATTTGGCATTTTTTTAGTCTTTACAAAGTTGTCCAAAGCCACTTGCCACTCTCTCTTCCTGGTTTTTTCCCAGATGAAGTGTTGCTGTGTAAAACAGCATCAGTTGCCATCAGAGATGAATGCATAACCTTTTCAAATGGCATCTGCCAGAATTTTGTGTATTCATCTAACATAAAAATATTTTACATCACTGGTCTCTCAAAATATCTCCCCTTGCAGGCAATAAAAAAAAAACACCAAACCCTTCCAATTTTGCATGGGTTCTTGCTTGTGCAAAGCAAGGGAAGACATACCTTCTTTATGTCGTCTTACTCTGCTCTCTGACTTGGAGAGCAGTGAGGCTGCAACAGGGATCAGTTGCTGCAAGCCCACTGCTATCCCGAAGTGGTTCATTACCGGTGTGTTAGCATTACTGTTCTCAGTTAGCCGCCAGTATTGAGCTGCATATATTTTATTCTATTTAGATGTTTGTATAATGCAGGTAAAGATTGATACAGAATGTAAGCTCCAGTGGAGGTCACATTAGACACTGAAAAATGCAAATGAATTACCAAAGGGAGGGAGAAATGTTTTTATCCCCTCATTGAAGTCATTGAAGTAAGAAGCTGCTTACCAGTCAGTTTAGTACGGAAGATAATTTCTAGTCTAACAAATAGATATTTGCATATCTAAGGAAGTGAACGAGCACTATTAAGAAAAATGGACAGACTGTGTCTCGAAAATGTGGGAAACGGAATGACTCAGGATGAAAGATTAAGTGTGTTTAGATCCCAGGGACATTTCAAAGGTGAGATTGGTAAAAGCCTGTTGCGGTTTAACCAAGGGATGTGCAGGAATATGAAGATCTAAGAGGGAGTGGAGGAGTGCACCTGGAAGTGCTCCATGAGAAGTTCATCTCTTGCAGATGAATTCTCAGACCAGAACTTCTGAATAATTTTTCAATGATAGGGAAAACATGAAACATAAGGTGTTCACAAGGACCGGAGCTGTGATTACCTGCTTGTCAGTGGCAGCTCAATATGGATGTAAGTATGGATCAATATAAATACATTAAACATAGATTTTGTCTATTTGGTGGTAACTTTTGTAAGCATTTGTTACAGTGTTGCCTCTTTTGAAAGTTACTGATAAAATTCGTTACTTATTTTTGACCTTAATTTGGCTTAACTGTGATTTAAGGGAAGTAACAAGGCATATTTTATGCAAAAGTGTAGCGATTGCATACCCTAGGGCATTTGTGTATCATAAAAGTATCCAGGAAATACTAATAGGAGTTGGTGTTGCTGTCATCATCCCCTTTGTCAGCAGCATATACTCACTCTGTCGGTGGAGGGAAGAGATTTAATCCATCACCTTTCCAATATTTCTTACCCCGCACTGAAGAGTAGTCTCGCCTGTCCAGACTGTCACAGTGTGTGCAGCTCCGCATATTCTCTGAGCTCTGCATGATTTTCTGTCTCAAGTTTTTTTTTTTCTGGTGGGATATTGGATTATCAATCTTACTCACTGTGTCAGAGATCTGTCTGATCTCTATAAACTTTGTTCTGGACTGGATGACTCCTGTTGTTTGTCAGGCTCTGCTTTTCCTTCTCTGTCTCCCAGCAGTGTGTTGAAGTACTTGTCCCAGGTCTGTCACAACCTCTTCTGTTCTCAGCTCTTGTTAGCTCCTTGCCAAACTTCAGGAGTACCGTTCAGTTTGTATCAGTCACCAGCTTCTCTCTAGTCTGTCACTTTTCTTTTGTAATTTCAGATTAAAAACATTTCTTTATAAAGGGTTTTTTTTTTAATATGGATTGCAGTAATCTTCCATTTTTGTAACACATTTTCATGACTGGGTTCTACTCTCTGAGTTAATTGAAACTATTAAACACTTCAAGTATATCTGAAACCACAATTGTCAGAAATAAGGCTACTTTCTAATTGTTGTCTTTCTCTTCCCTAGTACCTATTGCTTTTAGGTGCAGCACGAAGCACCACGTCCATCTCTTCCCATTGTTTTCCATGCTCAGAGAGATTTTCAGCTCTGGTGGAGGTTTCAGCTACTCCGCTTTTCCATCCTGCTTCTTTCTTTTGTTTCTTTTTTTAAATTTTCCCCTGCTGATAATGATGTGGGGTTCAGCAATAACTCTGGGCTGAAGATGCTTAAGAAAGACCCTCTTTATTCAGAGACATAGTACTGCCTGCCTAAGCCTACCAGGACATAGGCTGAGCAGAGCCCGCTGCTCAGCTTTCCTGCACCAGGCAAGCAAAGCTTCTTAGAGGTTCAGGTCCTGGCGCTGCATTTTACTGTGGCAAATCTGTGAATGTGTAGAGACGGATGTTGTTTTTTTCTGTCACAATCTTGCACGCCTGCTTTTTAACTGTGATTTTTCACTTGTGATGGGTAAGTGCACAGCACATTGCTGGCAGCCTGTGCCCATGCTGACCTGGAACAGAATGAAGGAGCAAATTCACTTAGTTCAGTCTCTCTAGGATATCTAAATGTACCAAGAAGTTCAGCTTTAACTTTCTCATTTTGGTCCCACCGGACCATCGGGGTGTTCCTGTGAGCCGCTTGTAAGGGTGAATATGGATTCTGTGGCCAGACGTAGTTTAAGTGGTTACATCCTCAGGCACGAGTGGGCAGGGGAGAGTGTGGGCTTGGACAAGAACAGAGTGAGTCCTCTGTTATTTGTGTTTCTCTAGAATTTAGGGTGATTTTTTTTTTTTTGTGATACGTCACAAAAAGTTACAGATTCTTGGTGTATTAAATAGACTGATGGATAGGTACATGCTGTCTTTTGTCAAAGAAAGTGTTCTCATAACTTCTTTAACTCTTATACTAACAAATCAGCAAAAGGAGAACAAATATTTTTATTAAAATAGTAAAAATTTATCTTAATGTAATATTATCTAAAGAATTTGCATGAGAATGTAAGTCAGACTTTCTTTTAGGGCTTAGGATAAGCAGCAAGACCTGAAAACAGTTCTTCAGGAGCTATCCAGGAGAGTAATTCATATTTCTTCATCTTACTCTGGAGGAGAGGAGATGAGAAATAGATACGATCCCTACAAAAACATTGTCTTCAGATGTAGTGCATATGATTAGCTATATTGTAATTTTATCTCCAGGTGGAATATTGCGATACTTATTTTTGAGATACTGGTAATGCAAAACACCTGCCTGCCTTCCCAAAATTCCTATTTCTACTTTCGCTGCTAAACTATTCCCATCATCTGTGAATACTATCTCACTTTAAAGCAAATACGAAAGAGGTAAATCTGGATATATAGTGTGTTGTACTAATATAAACATTCATATCTTTATTGCTGCAATGCAAATCAGTTTTATGTATGCCAGATGAAAAGATTTATTTTACCCCATTGTTACAGTTCTGAAGTAGTATGGATTTCTGGAGTTTTCTGTGTACTTGTACCTCAGTTTTGCAGCGAAGGGAAGGAATACAGCAGCGGCACTTGATCATTTTCTTTGCAGCAATATTCCTACTGGAAGTGCTCAGTAATCAGTTGTGTGTTGTTTTCAGCCATAGAATCCTCATGCTCTATTAACTGTGGTGGTAGGAAAATGGCTGTTGGCAATTTTCCATCATGTCAATGCTCTTAGTATTTACGTTAGAAACAGTATTTATGAAGACAACAAAAGCCTTTTTTGTTTTTTCCTCTCTCCAGATCTTTCGGTGTTGAGAGATGAAATGTATTTTTTCTGTTCATCTATTGTGTATATCCTGTAAGGGATGCACATACAGTACTAGCCCTGTAAGTTGACGTAATAGAAACCTGAGTTGATTTCAGACTGTGTCTTGGTTTGTTCCATGTAACTCTTTGTTCTAATGTACCTCTAAGAAGGGTTTAGAATGCCCACATTAGACTGAAGGCTGGGAAAAAAGGTTTATATTTATACAGAAACTTTGTAAAAGATTTATATTTTTTTTCCTTGTTTGTTACTGTGCAGCAATTCATAATGATCTGTCTAGGTATTATTTAAAAGAAAGGCATTGTTCATTTCGAGATCAATACGACCAAGATGATACATAATTCAGCCTCAATGGGCGATTGCATTCATTTTTCATTTCAACATTGAATCATTTGATATACTTTGAAATAACAAAGCAATGATCTATAGATTGGGGTTATGAAAATTGAAAGCAATTTAATAATATGCATGTCAAATAAAATCAACAAGGTTCTATTTTATTTTCTTAAACTGTAAACTAGCCATCACCCAATATCAAGGCTCAGTTGCTTGAAAAAATAGCAAAGTTTTTCTCTTTATGTTATTGCTTATTCTCCCCCCCCTTACTCCCCTCCAGCTTTCTCTCCCACATTTTTTTTCCCTCTTGGATCCTTTAGTATTCACATTGCGTTAAACATCTGCTATTCATATCAAGCACTCTGGAAATCCATCCATTGTTTATGTTGGTTAATGTTAAGTAATACTTTGTACAGCAATAAGAAGTAATAAAAACCCCAGCAATAAACTGCTGTGTGTCAGTGATTTCTCCTCAGGGTCTGCAACAAGCCATTTGATTTGACTGAAATAATGGCAAACGGTTTTAGACCTTTGCATTATCTCTGCAGGCAAATGTCCGTGTGCGTTGGTAAGTGTCAGGCTTACAGAAGGATTTTGGTGGTGCAGTCCCAGAGGTAAAAACTGATGGGTGCCAGAATAAGCATTTGGGTAAACAGAAATGTTAGTCGAAGAGTTCCCATGGGGCTGTCATCCAGGATGTTTGTGACTTCTGTGTGTTTGAATACTTTGTGTGTAGTGAGAGAAGATCTATAGAACTACTATTATGTAGTAGTTTAAATAAAAATAATAATTAAAAAGCTAATTTAGAGTACCTAGGTCCTAACTGCCAAAAGTGAGATATTGAAATGGTGTAGTTTTCAGGAAACATGTACTTAGTATTTTCTGAAAATCAGGCGTTTCAAAGTGTCTCAAGGTGAACATTCGAATCCATTAATTTCGTTTTGTTCTGCTGGTGCAGTCAGTTGGAGACCTTCCTGTTCAGAGAGCTTTCACCAAGCCCTGGGATGTTCGTGGGATTATTTTTTGTTGGGGTTTTTTGGTTTGTTTGTTTGTTTTCCCCAAAGAACTTTTTAAGAAGAGGATGAAAGTATATACAATGGAAACTTTGATTTCTAGCACAAACATCTCTGTCATATACCAAGCAAACAGTGCAGAAAAGAAAGTTTTTCAGTAGCCAATTTAGATATTTCTTATAAGTACTGTTGTAAGTAGTTCTTCATCAGTAGAAAATTTGGATATTTCTTACAATAACTACTGTTTGACTTAACAGTCTTTAACCAAAGCTGTCACTTTTTGTGATTGACTTGTTCCTTAAAATCTATATAAATCATTAAATGGTATTCTGTTACAGAAAAGCATCTGCTACTTATTCTTAGTAAAATAAATGGTTTTGATTAAGGAATCTGAGTGGCAGAAATACAAGCCCTTTTAGTAAATAGTTCTTGTTTTTCTACAACAACATTCATTTAGGAAATTGCGCAAGACCTTTAGGGAGATTTAATAAAGCTATTGATTGCATTATGCAGCATTAGGAAAGGGCAAAACCATACTTGGGGTTTTCATTTGTCAAGACTAAAATAAACTATATTAGTCAATACTTTCTCTTAATTTGTTGAAATTGTTGTCAAAAAAAGTTAAATACCTGGTAGCAAGAAATCTATACTGGAAATCTTGAAGAAAGCTTCTCTGAATAAATGATTGAAAATAATGTTGAGAGAGGCACGTAGGTAAATTCAAATTATTTCTATAGTGTCATTTTTACAACAAAAATAGGGATTATAAGGGGAAAACATGGAGTTCATGGAGTGAACAGTTTATCTCTGTGTGTCTCCTGGTTTTATAAAGGGAAATATATGTGTAAAGACGCTCAGCAGAAAATTCTTGTTTCTCACTGTATTTTCTCATTTACAAGTTGCACTGTTTCAGGGTACTCAGATTTTTTTGGGAGATTTATCATGTATGATAACAGAAAATTTGCAGAAATTGTTCACACAGTTATTTATTCCGCCACCCCCCCTGGTAGATGCTTTTCGTCTTCCATCTTGAGTATTAGAAATTTACTACTGTCGTATGTTCTGCAGGATCTAGCCCTCAGTTACATTTCAACCAGCCGCTACACCAAATAAAATTACAGCACGTAATATTCTGAAATGAGTTCATGTGTGTGGATGTCTGTCTTGCTGTGTTTATACACACACTCATATGTATAGTAGTAAGGTTGTGTGTTTGTTATACCAGTATCCTCATCAGGCTTCAAACTGAGGTGGTTAAACAGAGTGGAATGATAGCGGTGGAGAAGGTGCTGTGATGGTTGTAAAAGAGTAGGATGATAAAGCGGGGGGAAGGACCCTCAAATTCAGGGTACTCTGCATGAGACAGTTGGATCTTGTTTTGCATTTAGTCCTATCCAATTCTAGTCCTGCTCTCATTTAAAGCAAGAGTGATGCTCCCAGTTGTGTGGTTTGGGAAATTTAATGGTTTTTAAGGGTGTCTAGAAAATGCTATAACAGTGGGGGAAAAGGATAAACGATATCGTTAGTTCAAAGTACACAGATACTAAGTTCATAGATAAAGTTAAAAAAAAATATCAAATGTGGATTCTCTTTGTGACCAACTTAGATGTTAAATTGCTAATTTCCATTTTGCACTATGATGATACTTGCTAATAATGTCAGACAATTATATTTTGATGTAAGCTCACATAGTCATAATGCCTTAATTAAACATTTGGAAACAAAAGAAACTGTTGAGCTATGTACGAGTTTTATAACTTCAAATGTTTTTCATGAGGTTCACACAGAAATAGATTTAAAAAAACCTGCAAATGCTATCCTTGTATTCAAATAATTGTACCAGTATAGTATGTTAGTGTGAAGTTCCAACATGTTTTTCTCCTGATGGCTTTTCTGGTGATTTTATTTTAGCCGTATAGTTTTTACTTCTTGGTCATGAATTTAGTCTCTGTGAAGGCCAAGAGGTGGAAACCCTCCATTATTCCAGCAGTACACAGGACTCTCTGCACTGCTCTATCAGGAAATCTCAAGTAACAGTTTTATGATGTATGAGGATATTATTCTCTGCAAGCAATAACACGCATTTCTATTTCCCCAGCAATATCCACATAATCAAACATTCACAAGTGCTTTACAAAGAATTTAATTAAATAGTGTGCAGAGTAACTGGATGCAGCATGCACACAAGCTGTTATATATTCAGTGGTTCACATTTTGCAGTTAGCGCAGAATGCTTTTGAGCAGTACAATGTGTGAATGATACTTCTATCAAAACGTGCGTCATCACCCCTCCTTTCGTGACTTGCTCCTTAAAAATTACCCTAAACCTTAACTGATGTCACCTCCAGGATCACAGGATACCTTCCTCCGTGCTCTAATGGTGTGATAAACAGAGGGAAATACAAATTCTCACATTGAGACTTGAACATCAAACATCGTTCCTCTGAAATCAAACATTTATGACTCCCCAGAGAAGGATATAGATTATTGTGTCTTTTACTACAAAACTAGGCGTGTTTGGAATTTTATTTAAAGGTAGTAGAAATTTGTGGAGCAATCAAGACCAACCACCGAAGAATTTCATTTCTAAATTAACACCAAGATTGGACATTCAGAGTTTAGACATAGACAATGAGAAGCAAAAGATTTCTCATTTTGTGATAATAAATATATTCAGAATGCATTCTGCCAGTCATTGGAGATAAAGTCTCTTCTTTGGCATTAAAGTGCAATGCATCAGACCCTGCATTAGGAGAAGGTAGGATTGTGTTCATACGTTGTAGTACACTTCTTAATTCGTTCAGCATTATTGGAATGCTCACGTCACCTGCAAGGATTAGCATTCTGGAAGCCAACACGGTTACCTATTACATTTTGTTTTGGCTGTTCAGAAAAGCCCTTTAAGCATTAGCTGATGCATGAGAGGAGTTTCCAGGCTTGCAGAGCAATGGGGCTGTATTGGATTAAAGTGATTTAGAATATCCCTCTGCGGTTGTCTACCTGCAAGGCAGTTAGCCCTCCATCAGATTGGAAGGTTTTATTGGTATGTCAGTGCTATAAAGTATCGGTCTGAACCAGCAGACCAATGCCAATGACACAAATACTGAAAGAAAGTCTATAATTAGCCTGTAAAGGTGTTCCGTATGAGACCTCACCCTGGTTTCCCAGTTCCACAGAGTTATTCCAGTTTATTACTGGCTGACACCGACAAAATCTGTCCATTATGACTGGCAAGAAAGACCAAAAACTACAAATGAACACAAAGGAGAGAAAGGAAACAAAAGGATCAGTTAAGAGTAGAGGACTGATTTTGCTTTCACGCTAGTTGTATTTCAGTGTCACTTTGCTTATTTGAGGGGAATTGCTGAAAACTTAATTGGTATAAGTAAGAACAGAGTCAGTCTCTCTGTATTCTTCTTCTGAAGATGCCTTTTGAAGGAAAGTTTAATCGCTGTAGGGGAAGTTATGGCTTGCTTTATGGAGTTGAGAACGGGAGAGATCTCTGTTTAATGGTAATGAAGATTTGCCATTAACTTCAGTGATTTCACCCAGTAGCTTTTGTGTCCTCTCCTTTTCATCCCCATCCCTTCTTTGTCTTGCAGACAAGAGTTTTTCATTTTGCATGTCATTTATAAAAAAATGTAGGTAAGCTAAAAAATTAGTACAGTTGAAGCTTCAAGTGAAGAAGAAAAGGAAAGCATGTAATTTTGAATTTACTTGCATGTCTAATCTTGAACAGCACGTTTTGGATTTTTGCTTTATTTTCTTTAATTAGGCTCTTGTTTTAGTGTCTGCCTTTATAGAAAATATTTATTCTTTGCCATTTGTTGTATGTTTCTGTTTGCAATTTGGATATTTTCAGTTTGCTTATATTTGGATGTAGCTGGTAGACTCTCTCTGTGCTTCCATTAGAAGTCTGGGATTTTTATGCTTCTTGCAGCAGGCTCTTTTTGGGAGTGCTGGAATATATCCAGGGTCCCCATTCCTGATATTTCCTCTGAATCCTGAAGTGGAGCTCCTGCTGTCAGGTTGTTCTGCAAGCCAGTTCTACCACCTGTATCAGCAAGCCAAAATAGACAAACTTAGCAGAGGTGTCTGTGCTTTGATATAATTTAGAGTATTATTTAGAATAATTTTCTTCTTCAAGTTAGGAAGCCATCCCAGAGACTGTTCATCCCACACAGTGAAGTACCACCCAGATATACTTTTGTTAACTGTGAATGAAGTAGCTGTGGAACCAGAAGTAATACAGCCAAATGAGAGGAGTGTGGCAGCCAGGCTAATTAATTAAGAAGCCAGGCTAATTAGTTTGACTGGAGGGAGCACCATGCTGATGTGACAGTGTAGCTTCCAAAATTCTGGCTGATTTGTACATAGGTTGCACTGGGCTCCTTGTAGAAATAGAAGTTGCTTCTGGGCTCTTTCAGATATTTTTGCCATGAAGCAGTATTGTGTATTGGTTTATTCCCTATGTCAATTTACTGTAATTTTTAGATTTATTTCCAGACTGATAGTCAATTTTAGTTCCTTCTCAATCTTCTGCAATAAGATTTTTCTAACACATGGATAGACATGGTAATACTGTCTCGTTCAACCTCATGCCACTGAGAGAAATTCCACACTGATTTTTTTTTTACCCGATGAAGGACCTTCTCATCTTCTTCCTAATATTTTGTCACTTACTGAATACAAAACTGCAGTAATACTCCTGGCACCATTGTTCCAGCCTGCGAGGCTGAGAGGTGGCTGTCGGCAGTCCTGTTCTCAGAGGACGCATGCTAGCAACAGTGCACACTGAAAGATGCCTTGTTTTGTAGGAGCTGGTGATTCTGGTGATTGTTTTAAAATGTATGTTATTTAAAATGCTTTTCGTGATCATTTATGGCCTTACTTATAATAGCTTTTCAGCATAGTAGCTCCCACAAGGAGTTAACATATTTTTTTTCTATTCCTAGATCTGTTAGCTGTGCCTAAACATCCATATGCTGCTATGGAGAACTGGGGACTGAGTGTTTTTGTGGAGCAAAGGATACTGCTAGATCCAAGCGTTTCTTCTATATCATACCTACTGGATGTCACCATGGTCATTGTACATGAGCTATGTCATCAGGTATTAAAGGTGTTCGCATATTTGTATTAATGTCAGAAACCATGCATTCTTTTCCAAAACTGAAAATGAATTTGTGTTGTTCACATAGACAGTTGCAACTTTTATTGTAACTATAGTCCAAATAAGGCAGAGATCTGTAAGATACATCACTACGATACAGAAACTGGGAAGACTGAAAATGAGGAAAAAAGAGAAAATTAGTAGCAATGAACAACTTCCCTGTCTTCTGTATGATTATATTCTGTGTGTTTGTGTGTGAGTGTGTTGGTGTGTAGACTAAACATGTTGATAACTGTAGAAAATGATTTATTGCAGAACTATAGCAGATTCGTGCTGAGTTTCGTGTTCACGTCAAGAAATGTTTTGGCTGAAATCAATTTCATAGTCATCTTCTTTTTCTGTTACATGTACACATATTTCCATTTTCTTTTTCTTATCCTTTTTTTTTTTAATTTGAAATTGACCCTCTGTTCACTAATGGTGGATAATTGAGTCTTTATGTGTACAGAAACTTTTGTATCAGTGAGAAAACTTTGTAATAAACCCATATTACAATTAATTTTACATTTCTTCCATCTTCTTATCTCAAACTAAACACATTATGAGTGTTTAGTAATATTGAGTTGAATGCAAATGTTATTGAAGAAATTTGCTACAGGGGCAGGAAGCCCTTTCTTGCACTCGTAAGAGGCATAATCATAGCCTTCAGGTTAAAATAAATGAAATCCTACTGTGTAATCAGCATGGCTTACATCTGTGACTTTACACAGTATTCTTTAAAAGGCAACGCAAATTCTTAACACCTTCTGCAAATAAAAAGTACCATATAAAAGGGAGCCTTTGTAATGGAGTTCTGGTAGATGAACCTGGAAATAATAATGTTTGGTTCATATTCATGTTTCACATTAAATGTGTCGATGAATATGAAGTCCTCGACAACAATATGAAATTTTTATTGAAAGTTATTGCTGGTTTGTTCTCAATACGATCATCTGATTTTCTTATATGCTCTTTATTGTGCAGTACAATAGAGTAGAACACTGTTCAGCTAGAAAAATTACAGTGCCTTAGAAATCAGGTGTGGAAAACACGTATTAGGTCATCAAATCCCGGCTCCTGTTAGTATTAGATTCTTCTGTGTGGTGCATTTTGTAGTGGTGGGTTCAATGCTCCTGATTACAGGGTTATACCTCTTCCCTTAAAACCTTTTGATTAAATATGATGGTCAATAACTTTTTCCTAGTGTTCAGCTTAAGTCTTGTTTTTTTCTGAAGTCATTCCATTATTTCCAGTTATTCTTGCACTGCTTTAATAATTTCCCCTACTTCCAAAGCAATTTATACTTCCGATGTGAGCAATTATCACATCAGTAACTTGCCAAGTTTGTTTATTTGATTCTCATTGCAACCGAAGCCTTTTTACATTGTTCTGGGAATATTGGAGGATCACAAAGTTGGTGAAAACTGTATTTTAGCAATGCGGTCATAGAGTGCTTTTAAGTGACCTTAAAAGTGCAAATGAGACAGTTTACTTGATGTCTATGTTAATATTACTTCCAGTGCTGTTCGCTTAATTAAAGTATCTTCCTCCATTCACGTTGCTGCTGTTTCTGTATTAGTACCATGCAGACCAGGTCCTTGCTCAGCTGCTTCACTGGATAACTAGACAAGATAGAAAATATTCAGGTGGAAGAAGTTTTATTTCCAATTTTTAGATGCTGAATTGAGTCACAGAGAACATGGATTGTTCATCTGCAAATAAAGCTTAAAGGGAGAAACCATCCAAAAATAGAAGCCACAAAACACTATCTAGCACCTCCATTGCAGTATTGTCTTTATTTAGCCATTTTTTTCTGCTTTTATCTTACCGTGCTCAGAAGCCTCTCAAGGAGACTTTAGCTGTGGATAACACAGAGCAGGAACGGTAAACAATACTCACTTAGCTGAAAATGGATTGAACTGAGACCAGGTTGGGTCCAGGATCTCTTGTCTCCACTCTTTAATTGTTAATTATGCACTGAATTTTTCATCCTCTTTTGCTGTGCATTGTCTCGCCTGCTAACCTGAGGTGGCACATGAATATTCCTCCCCTTCACTCGTCTTCACACGTAGAATGACAAAGATTAACCAAAATCACTTCTGGTGCAGCCACAAGTAGAATCCACATCTCCAGTTTTACTTTTTATTTATTGACTTTTTAAAATTTCAGGTAAGAGGAAAGCAAACTCTCTTAAAATATTTTCCTAAAATAAATTTTTCTTTTTTTTTAAGAATTATATTATTGTCCTGTTTCCCCCCGATTTTAAACCCATGACTTTGAGACTTACAGAACATGTCTGAACGTGTAGCAAACTGACCTGCATGAGACCCTTGTTACTTAAAGTAACACAGCAATTTCTTTGCTAATGTTGTTCCCAAGATTAGAAAAATGAGGTGAATGTTAAAGAATTGGGATTGTTACCTTTAGATATGACTGTTTAAAATCAGCATTCTGAAACCTGCTGGGTATTAATGCTTGAGCACAGTGTTCAGGACAGATAGAAAATGAGAGACAGCATTGCAGGACAAAGAAATTCTGTGGCTGTCAAAATAGAGGTAAAAAGTGTGTAAGAAAGAATTTTACACCAGATTTCTTCACAGGTCACTTTGTAATGCTTGACCAGATATTTATTTTAGGTACATGTTTTAGGAGGGACACATTAAAGTTACACAGGTAGCTTTAGTTTAGTCGTTTCGTAGGTTGCTAGTGCTTGATATTTCAGCTTGAGTAGTCTTTTAGAACATTTTATGGATTTAATTAAAAAAATAATAATTGGAAGAAGGAGTCTTTCAGCATAAAACCTTCTCCTCCAAGCCTCAAAGCACAAATGAGATATTGGTCAAAATGCAAATATTTCTAGCAGCTTAAGTTGATAGCTCTAAATAATTACCATAATTTATTAAAATAATTCCGTTAAGCTATTAATCAGTTTTAGTTGCATATCATAGATCAGTCCCACCTACAGCCTTTGAAGAAAGAGTAATTTGAATTTATGCATCATAATTTTTTGTGATCGTTTTCCCACCTAAGTACAAAACTTGGTGTGACAGATTGAGTTAAAGAGGCATGAAAAAAATTAAAAAATTTCTAAATCAATGTTTTTTTAATAATATGTAAAGAAAGCAT